CTGGGTACAAGGGTGATAGCAAAGACTGGGTACAAGGGTGATACCACAGACTGGGTACAAGGGTGATACCACAGACTGGGTAGAAGGATGATACCACAGACTGGGTAGAAGGATGATACCACAGACTGGGTACAAGGGTGATACCACAGACTGGGTACAAGGGTGATACCACAAACTGGGTACAAGTGTGATACCACAGACTGGGTACAAGGGTGATACCACAGACTGGGTACAAGGGTGATACCACAGACTGGGTACAAGGGTGATACCACAGACTGGGAAAAAGCGTGATACCATACAGACGGGGTACAAGGGTGATACCACAGACTGGCTACAAGAGTGATACCACAGACTGGGTACAAGGGTGATACCACAGACTGGGTACAAGGGTAATACCACAGACTGGGAACAAGGATGATACCTCAGACTATGTACAAGGGGTGATACAACGGACTGGGTAAATGGTAATACAACAGACTGGGTGCAAGGGTGATACCAAAGAGTGTATACATGAGTGATACCACAGACTGGGTACAGGAGTGATACCACATACTGGGTACAAGCGTGATACCACAGACGGGTTGTAAGGGTGATACCACAGACTGGCTTCAAGGGTAATACCAGAGACTAGGTACAAGTGTAATACAACCGACTGGGTCAAAGCGTGATTGCACAGAGTAGTACCAAAAACTGCGAACAATGGTAATACCATAGACTGGGTACAAGAGTGATACCACTGACTGGGTACAAGGTTGATACCACTGACTATGTACAAAGGTAATACCACATGCTGGGAACAAGTGTGATACTACAGATTGGGTACAAGGGTAATACCACAGACTTGGTACAAGCGTGATTCCACAGACTGGGTACAAGGGTGATTCCACAGTCTGGGTACAAGGGTGATACCACAGACTAGGTGCAAGCTTAATACCACAGACTGGGAACAAATGATACAACAGACTGTGTACAAGGGTAATACCTCAGGCAGGTTACAAAATTGATACCACAGACTGAGAAGAAGGGTAATTCCACAGACTTGGAACAAAAGTGACACCACAGACTGAGTACATTGGTGATACCTCAGACTGGGTACAAAGGAAATACTGAATGTTGGGTACAAAGGTGATAATACAGACTGTGTACAAGGGTAATAGCACAGACTGAGTTAAAGGGTGATACCACAGACTAGGTTCAAGTTTAATACCACAGACATGTAACACAGGTAATACCACAGACTGGGAGCATGGGTGATAATACAGACTGGGTTCATGGGTGGTACCACAGAATAGATACAAGGGTAATACCACAGCCTGGGAACAAGGGTGATACCACAGATTGGGTACTAGGGTGATACTACAGACTTGGAACAAGGGTAATACCACAGACTTGGTTCAAGAGTGATACCATAGAGTGGTTTACAAGGATAATACCGCAGACTGGGTACAAGGTTAATACCACAGAATGGGTACAAGGGTAATACCACAGACTAGATGAAAGGGTGATACCAAAGAATGGGTACAAGGGTGATACCACAGATGGGTACAAAAGTGTTTCCACATTCTGGGAACAAGGGTAATATGACAGACTGGGTACATGAGCGATACCACAGACTGAGTACAAGGGTAATACAACAGACATTGTACAAGGGTGATACCACAGACTGGGTACCAGGGTGATAACACAAACTGGGTACAAGGGTTATACCTCGGACTGGGTACAATGGTGATTCCAGAGACTGCTTTCAAGGGTAATACCACAGAATGGGTACAGAGGAGATACGAAAGAATGGGTACAGGGGTGATACCACAGACTGGGTACAAGAGTGATTCAACAGACTATGTACAAGTGTAATACCACAGACAAGGTACACGGGTCATACCGCAAACTAGGTACAATGGTAATACCACAGACTGTTTACAAGCGTGATACCGCACTGACAGGGTACAAGGGTGATACCACAGTCTGGGTACAAGAGAGATACAAAAGACAGGATACAAGGTTGATACCACAGCCTGGATACAAAGGTGATACCACAGACTAGGTACAAGTTTAATACCACAGACATGTAACAAAGGTAATACCACAGACTGGGAACAAGGGTGATAATACAGACTGGGTTCAAGGGTGGTACCACAGAATTGGTACAAGGGTAGTACCACAGACTGGGAACAAGGGTGATTCCACAGACAGGGTACAAGGGTAATACATCAGACAGTTACATGTGTGATACCACAGATTGGGTACAAGGGTGATACTACAGACTGGGAACAAAGGTAATACCGCAGACTTGTTACAAGAATGATACCATAAAGTGGGTACAAGGATAATACCGCAGACTGGGTACAAGGTTAATACCACAGAATGGGTACAAGGGTAATACCACAGACTAGATGCAAGAGTGATACCAAAGAATATGTACAAGGGTGATACCACAGACTGGGTACAATAGTGTTTCCACCGACTTGGTACAAGCGTGATGCCACAGACGGGGTACAAGAGTGGTACCACAGAGTGCGAACAAGGGTAATACCATAGACTATGTACAAGAGTGATACCACAGACAGGGTACAAGGTTGATACCACACACTATGTACAAGGGTAATACTATAGACTGGGTACAAGAGTGATACCACAGACTGGGTACAAGGGTAATACCACAGACTGGGAACAAGAGTGATACCACAGACTGGGAACAAGAGTGATACCACAGACTTGTAACAAGTGTGATACCACACACTGGGTACAGGGGTAATACCACGGACTTGGTAGAAGGGTAATACTACAAAAAAGGTACAAGTGTGATACCATAGACTGGGTACAAGGGTAATACCACAGACCTGGTACAAGGATGATACCAAAGACTGGGTACAAGGGTGATACCACAGACTGGGTACAAGGGAAATCCTGCATACAGGGTATAAGGGTGATACCACTGACTGGGAACAACGGTAATACCACAGACTGGATACAAGGATAATACTAAAGACTGGGTACAAGGGAGATACCACAGACTAGGTACAAGTGATACCACATACTGGGTACAAGGGTAATCCGACAGAGTGGGTACAATGGTAATACCACAGACTGGGTACAAGCGTGAATCCACAGACGGGGTACATGGGTGATACCACAGACTGGGTACAATGGTAATCCCTCAGACTGGGTACAATTGTATTACATCAGAATTGGAACAAGGGTGATACCACAGACTGGGTACAAGTGTGATACCACAGACTTGGTACAAGGGTGATGCCACAGACTTGGTACAATGGTGATACCACAGACTGGGTATAAGGGTAATACCAAAGACTGGGTACAGGGGAGATACCAAAGAATGGGTACAAGGGTGATATGACAGACTGGGTACAAGCAATGTTCCACAGACTGGGTATACGGGAAATTTCACAGACTTGGAAGAAGGTTAATACCACAGACTTCGAACAAGGGTAATACAACAGACTGGGAACAAGGGTGATACCACAGACTGCGTACAGGAGTAATACCAAAGACTGGGTACAAAGGAGATGCCACAGACAGGGTACAAGGGTGATACCACAGACTGGGTCCAAGGGTGATACCACAGACTGGGTACAAGGGTGATACATCAGAATGGGATCAAGGTTAATTCCACAGACTTGGAACAAGGGTATATCTCCCCCCTACCTTGTCTTGACCAATCAGCACAAAGCCGGCACAACTGCATGGTGCCGCTTCCAATCACAGCTGTTCGCGCCAAAACTCACCTAGAGGCGAAGGTGCCGCTACCAATCACAGGAGCCCCTCACCCTCAGGCGTCAAGTGACGTCACAGGGAAGGAGGAGGCCTAGGACTGGCGCGATGTCTCACATGTGGGGGGGGGGGGGTGTACAAAGGTGATACAACAGACGGGGTACAAGGGTGATACCGCAGACTGGGTACAAGGGTGATACCACAGACTGCGTTCAAGGGTGATACCGCAGAATGGGCACAGGGGTAATCCCACAGACTGGGTACAAGGGTGATACCACAGACTGGGTACAAGGATCATAAAACAAACTGGGTACAAGGGTAATACCACAGAGTGAGTGCAAAGGTGATACCACAGACTGGGTACAAGAGTTATGCCAAAGATTGGGCACAAGAGTAATACCACAGACTTGAAACAAGAGTAATACCACAGACTCGGTACAATGGTAATACCACAGACTGGGTACAAGCGTGATACCACAGCCGGGGTAGATTGGTGATACCACAGACTGGGTACAAAGGTAATACCACAGACTTGGAACAAGGGTGATACTACAGACTGGGTACAAGGGTGATACAACAGACTGGGTACAAGGGTGATGCCACAGACATGGTACAATGGTGATTCCGCAGTCTGGGTACAAGGGTAATACCACAGACTGGGAACAAGGGTAATACCACAGACGGGGTACAACGGTGATACGACAGACTGCGTACAAGGGTAATACCACAAACTGGGTACGTGGATGATACCACAGGTGGGGTACAAAGGTAATGCCGGAGACTGGGTACAAGGGTGATACCACAGAGTGGGTCCAAGGGTGATACCACAAAATAGGTACAAGGTTAATACCACAGACTGTGTACAAGTGCGATACCATAGACTGGGTACAAAGGTAATACCTCAGACTTGGAACAAAGGTAATTCCAAAGGCTGGTAACAAGGGTAATACCACAGACTGGGTACAAGGGTGATACCACAGACTGGGTACAAGCGTGATACCATTGACGGGGTATAAGGGTAATTCCTCAGACTGGGTACAAGGGTGATACCTCAGACGGGATTCAAGACTGATACCACAGACTGGGAACAAGGATAATACCACAGGCTGGGCACAAGGGTGATACCACAGACTGGGAACAAGAGTAATACCGCAGACTGGGTACAAGGGTCATACCACAGACTGGGTACAAAAGTGATACCACAGGTTTGGCAACAGTTACTTTCGTATGCTCAGGTTTTTATTCTGATAAAATTTGTTTTTTCACAGGGTCAAAAGTCAAAAATCTCCTCGGACAAAAGTGACGTGATATTAGAGAAACTTCTCGAGGAGAAAAACTGGGATAAAATAAAAATGTTTTTGGAGATATGTCCAAGTCTGAGCCAACACTGGGTGACGATCATTGGTAATCTTGCTCTCGATGAAGGACAAATGGATGTCGTGAAAATCTGCTTCTTGAAGATGGGAGAAGGTGAAAGCTTGGATGAACCTCACAATCAAGAATAGGATACTCTACAGTCAGGAGTTAATATTCTTATGTCAATCATATTTTGTCTTTGTATGTTTGTGGATCAGTAGAGTTGATCTTTAAGTACGTTGTGGTAAAGTGACGGTTAGTCTTGCTAAACTCTGGTGTTCCGGCAGATACATGTTCAGTCTTATTAAAACTATAATATAAATGTGGATTACATGTGGTGACTTCTAAACAAAAAAATATAAATAGTCAACATAAAGAGTAGAGAAACGCATTATAATACAATACATAATAACAAATTTCTTTATTTCATTAGCAAATGCAACATTGTAGGAAGACAGATTAATGATAATCTTGTACGACATTGAAATTGTATCACATCCGTTAGTAAATGAATGTAAATTTTGTATAGTTAATAACGAGTACTATCTTAATGTATTTCAATATTGATTTGTCAGATATATAATGACGCCAAATAAAGTCTACATAATAAAGCTGGGCAGATAGTTTCATAGTTTAAAAAGATTACAGTAATAAGATGGCTAATCTTCATAAACTCAGAAATATATCCGTGATCAACAGAAACTTGAAATTGTTTACATTTAGACGTTCTCATTGTATTGTGATATAAAGTGCAGTTCGAGTCTAGGTTTGAGCAGCGAAAGTGTTGTAATATTTCAATAACTGGAAGGCCGTTAGTTCATGTATATGACAACCCTTAATATTGTGGAACAGTTTGAGCAGCTTGGAGGAGACGAACGAGGTGCTACGTTCAATATAAATCTCGGGTGGTGCTGAGCATTTACACGTATTATATATGATTGGCGAACATATTAGGAAACTTAGACACATGTGAATAACTAAATTCTATCAGGAAATTTAAGCAGTTGGTGCTGGCCATAAAGGTTTTTAATGTAATCCTCTCTCTTGAATGATAGAACTTTTTTTTTTTAATATAGTTTCTGTAATCTCAAGTTTTCGTACGTCAGAAGTATCGACCTCGGAATTTTAGAGTTGAACATGATACAATTGTGCAGGTGTCTACAAATCCAAACACATTTTTGAATATATATATGTGTATGCCTGTAAGATAGTCATATGAGACTTTCACTTCATTTGTTCGCCAAGAACTACTCTGAGGAGACTGGTGAGGACACACTAGTTATTGCTTTCCTACTAATTGCTAATTAACGCAATTGTTCGATTGTTATGGAAATTGTTCGCTCATCTGTGACAAATATATGGACAAGAGGAAAATTCTAGTGCTAAGAGATGAAACTAGTGTCTTAGGGATAATGTCGTAATCTTCAATGATATTGAAGAGTCACATATTAAACCTTGAAAACATGGCAGCCAAGAAAAGTACAGGACTAAGAAGAACTTAAATTCTTTCGACAGCTGGGGTTGTAAAACCTTGAATAAGACACATACTCATTTCCATCTTGGGTATGTACTAATCTCTTGGATGGCCTTTCCTCCATCATTTAATTATTTACCCACATTCTGGACAGGGTAAAGAACGATGTTGGAGTTCTTACTGTTATGTAAAAGGTAAATCTTCTAATGATTCTTGACTAGACAACGATTCTTGACCATGATTCGTCGGTGACGATGAGAAATTGGCAGTTACAACACAAGGTGCTCAACCACTAACATCTTTATGATCACAAAGATATTCACTACAAAATCACTCCGTTACCGATCATCCATTGTTATGCTGACTTAGTAATGTAACAGCAAATAAAGAATATTCCTAATATAAACAGATAACATGATAAAATAAATGAGTACTAATATCAGGCTGCAGATAAAAGAGCCCGTCGTACAGTTTCAACAAGAACAACATTTACATTCCCAATAAACCCAAGAGATGAGAGTGGGCGGGAGGCCCAAGGTGAGTAAGTGTACTCACTTGGTGAGTGAGTGAGTGAGTATATACGGCGAGTGTACTTTTGCTTACGTGTAATTTAGAATCTTTAGAATTTAGAATTTAGAATTTTAATTTAGAAATTTAATCAATTTAGACATTCTCTTATGGGGGTTTAAATCCAGCGGCGACAAATGGGAGGTCATTAGAAACAATGGTCTTCCCTGAACCTGTGGAAGAAATGGGGATGAGTAAGCTGGTGTCTACTGAACTGTATATTACAAATTAGATGAACGGTTATCATGAGGTTATCTTGAGATGATTTCGGGGCTTAGCGTCCCTGTGACCCGATCCTCGACCAGGCCTCCTTTTTGTTACACACCCCCAGGAAGCCGCCTGTAGCAGCTGTCTAACTCCCAGCAGGTACCTATTTATTGCTAGGTGAACATATGCATCAGGTGAAAGAAACTCTGCCCATTTGTTTCCGCTTCTGAAAGAGTTCGAGCCCAGAAACCTTGGGACTACGAATCCCGAGCGCTTTCCACTCAGCCGTCAGGCCCCCTGACGGTTAGGAGTGAGAATCTCTTAAAAATAACTAATACGGGAATGATCAGAGTAATGAGCACTTGCAGTAAATTGATACTGATGTAATACCTAATGTTCGGTTTTATTTTCATCCTCCAGTTGCTTTACGTGAGTCAGATTGCGTTATGGATCAACAAGAAGAATCATGCACGGAAATGATTCATGAGGTTAAAGCAGAACATACCTACATATATATACACAGATACTGGCTGCTAAATTCTCCTCACTACGAGCAGATGGCTCTCGTTGAGGAAGATCATTCATTTATTAATTGCATCATCATCATAATAACGCAAGTGCTCTTTGGTGAATGGCAATTGACGACTTGCCAGGCACAGCTTGGGGGATCCTCGTGCTTTAGCGAGCACAGTCGATGACAAGACGCCGGGTAGTCAGGATGCTGCTAGAGCCGGGTCAGATGTTAGGAAACTGGAGAATGACAGAGGAATGAGAGATAAGGGATATAAGTGATGAATGTGGTGTTGAGGCAGAGTCGGAAATGAACTACCACCTCTCGTTGAAGTAAGACCAAGTTCTTACCCAAACTCAGCATCAGCGGGTACCATATTGATAGTGAATTGACACAGCAATACACAGCCAATATGTTTACCCAGAATAAGATGAGACCATACTATTCTCTGCACCACATGGATATCCAACATTGTGAGCACACAGCTACACTAATGTTGAGGTCATTGTGAGCACACAACTACACTAATGTTGAGGTTATTGTGAGCACACAACTACACTAATGTTGAGGTTATTGTGAGCACACAACTACACTAATGTTGAGGTTATTGTGAGCACACAACTACACTAATGTTGAGGTCATTGTGAGCACACAGCTGCACTAGTATTGAGGTGCAACAGGAAAAAAAATCCATTTAGAACTCGTTTCCCACAAGTTTGGTATAGTGGCATTAGAACAGAGAGAGAGTACAGAGGAACTGAAAATATTATTTTTCCAAACATATGTGATGTTTGTAAAATGAGGTGATTGTTCACAATACAAGGCCATCATTGGTGAGTTTGATGAATGGTTAATAAACAGATAAGTGAAAGTTTAGAGAAGAAATTAAAACTTCACAGATTTTATCTAAGACACCTCCCTTCTGTTTATATAATATAAATATCTTGCTAAAATAGATCTTCGAGAGGAAATACAAGCATTAAACCTGCCTAGTAATGCAAACTTTTGTTCAAATGTTTCTCCAAAAGTACTACGCTGTTGTACTACTTTGCAACTGTAGTACAACATAATACGGGGGAAAAGTGCTCAAAGTGCATAAACAAATTTCATTCCAAGTCCTTATGTGTAACTTTTCATCATAAATCAGGAAAATAACCCACACTACGAACGTCACGTTCCCGTTCCTTTGGCCTCCCAATAAGCACCATAATTGTAGAGGAGTTATGTACATGGTAAATGATTATAACTGGTACGGCTATTACCGTATTCAGTGTAGTTCTTCTTTTCTCTTTTATTAAATTATTATAATAAATCTATGAAACGTGTGCTGCTTCCTTGGGATGTAGGAATAGAATGATGACGTCATATTTTATGAATAATTAAATCAAAACATAATGTAACATTAAACTCTGACCAAGAAATATGCATCAAAGCAATGATGTGTTGCACTACAGTGTTGTCATGTCTCAACATTAGTCAAGGAACAGCACATGTTGTAATATAATACACTTTGTGTACTATTATGTTTATATTATTTTGATTGAAATGTTTAAGATAATATTGATTGAAATGTTTTAGATAATGTTGATTGAAATGTTTAAGATAATATTGATTGAAATGCTTAAGATAATATTGATTGAAATGTTTAGGATAACATTGACTGAAATGCTTAAGAAAATATTGATTGAAATGTTGATTGATAATGTTGATTGAAATGTTGATTGATAATGTTGATTGAAATGTTTAAGATAATATTGATTGAAATGTTTACGATAATATTGATTGAAATGTTTAAGATAATATTGATTGAAATGTATAAGATAATATTAATTTTAACTGTAATAAAGTTGTAGTTTTATTGAGAGCTCGAATATGAGAGAGTTTTGAGTAACTTTTTTCTCAAGCACTGTTGTTGAGGTCAGAGGCTGAGGGTCTCTCCTCCCACGTGGAGGACGACGCGCTGAGCACAGAGCTGTGGAGAAGTTACACAGCAGAGAGAGCTGATGAGAAGTTACACAGCAGGAAGAGCTGATGAGAAGTTACACAGCAGAGAGAGCTGAAGAGAAGTTACACAGCAGAGAGAGCTGAAGAGAAGTTACACAGCAGAGAGCTTGTGGAGAAGTTACCCAGCAGAGAGCTGTGGAGAAGTTACACAGCAGAGAGCTGTGGAGAAGTTACCCAGCAGGGAGAGCTGATGAGAAGCTACACAGTAGAGAGCTTGTGGAGAGTTACACAACAGAGAGCTGTGGACGACATATAGAGTAGAGAACTTACAGAGGAGTTACTGAACACACAATTTGTGGAAGAGGTTTAGAATAGAGAGTTTCGGGTGGAGGATTAGAGAAGAGTTTGAATGACTTGCTGTAGTAGAGTTAGTGATTATTTACTTTATTTTCATTTAATTCCCATATGCACAATAAATTTAAAGCTTGCTTTACTGTGTTTCATTTGACCCATAAAACAACTGAATTTAATAATGAAGAATGTGAAAATATTCACCTTTTATTGTCTCTAATAATTCTGCAGTCCATTCTTGAAATAATTTAACTGTTTCGACAAGATTCCGATAACCAAGAATGAGAAAATTGGAATATGTCAACCATTAAGGAATGTGATGTACCACGCTACCTCGGACGAATACCTAATTCTACTGAGCTTGGGCAGCAGTCACGGGGATAAGCAAGTTCCATTTGGGTAGCATTTACTTACCTTGGGATCCCTCCCTTACAAGGCTCACATATAATACCGTTGACAGAGTGTCTGTCTCCCAAGCTAGCACAAAATATAGTCGACAAACCTAAACCAGACTACATTAGAGGGGATAATCCTGGATAAGATTTTTGTTACGAAGAACTCCATATACAAATTGCTCAAAACTGGGGATAGGGGGATTGCCCATCGCCATTCCAAATGTTTGTTTAAAAAATTTTCCATTGAAACTGAAATAATTGTCTTTTATACATAATACATAATAAGTTCCAACACATTATTAGTCTGCAAGCTCAAATTATATTTAGGCAGTTCCTCACGTAGGTATTCTAACAAATCATCAACAGGTACTTTAGTGAATAAAGCAGTCACGTCAAAACTTACTAGTTTAAAATCAAAATTCAAATTTAGAGTGGATAGCTCATTAATTAAGTCTACATTGTTAGTTAAGTGCGAGTTAGAAATAGTACCAACGATAGGGGACAAAACTTTAACCAACCACTTAGAAAGTTTATAAGCCGCTGAACCAACTGAACTAATAATCGGTCTAACTGGATTATAAGGTTTATGGGTTTTTATAAGACCATACATATAAGGTAGAGAGGGAGATCGACTTGTTAGCCTAGAAATCAACTTTTTATCGCCTTTGCACAAAGTTTTGAGAGGTTTGTTAAAATCTGCGATCACTTTTTCAGTAGGATCTCTGTTAACCAATAGGTAAGTATCCCTACCTTCCAAAAGTAACTCCATTTTTCGAACATAGTCATCCTTATTCATAATAACTACTGCATTTGACTTATCAGCCTTGGTAATATGTAATGAATTATCTTTTTGGAGATTTTTGAACGCATGAAAAAATCGACTTGGACAATTAGGTACAGAATTGTTAAGTAAAACGCCATACATCATACCTTTGCACACATTAATATCTTCAACTGAGACATCACTATACTTTTCGAGATTACAGAAACCTTTGGCAATATCTACAAAATTAACTGTCCCATTAGACGTGGCAAAGATCAGGCCATATCCTAATGCAGTAATCGTGTTGTTATCAAGTTGTCTATCCGAGAGGTTGATGACAAAATCACGGTTGGAATGTTTACTCCAGTTACTTTGTTGAATAAGTCTCTTCAATTTGAAATCCAGTTTAGTACTCACCTTTCTGTAGGTAGACCTCAAAGTAGTGTAACAATAATCCATCAAACAACGGTTCCACTCAGGCGGAATGGCTTGCAGAAAGGCATACTTACAGTTGTCCACCACTTTAAAACATTTACGAACTTCTAATTTGAGTTCTAAAAACTCTTCCGTTTTTGGACATTATGATTCATAGAGTCAACAGAAGGTTCAAATTTAATGTGTATAGAAAACCTACCAACGTGGGGTCGTTTGTTCATTATTATTAGAATCATCATAGTAAAGTTAAAAAGGCAGTATTTTCAGGAATGTTTCTTCGAGCTTTGAGGGTATGCAGCCCTGAGTTTTTTGATGAAGAGATAGCTAAAATATATGCAATTGGGAAGAGTTTACAGTACCCTAAGATGTTTTTCGATTGTTCGTTTGGGAAAGCTAAACGTACGTTTTATATTAATGTCTCCAAAGTGAAACCAGAAAATAGAAACTCATTGGTGGTACCTTATGCGATGGGATTTGAGAAACTTTCCCCAGTTTTTAAGAACCTTAATATTAATTTGGTGTTCACTAATAATACGATCAAGTCTAATTTAATAAAAAAAATCCCCTGGTACAGCAGGTTGTGTGTATTCGATTCCCTGCAATGATTGTGAGTCTGTGTAACTTGGACAAACAGGAAAATCCTTACAATTACGTATGTCCCAACATGCTTATAGTATAAGAACTGCCCAAACGTCTAATGCTTTGTATCTACATACAATTTTGTGTGATCACACTATTAATTGGGATGGGGCGAAAAGCATTGCCAATTGCATTGGCTTTGTGGAACGGAATTTAATTGAGTCTGCGCTAATTAGTCAATGTCCAAATCTTCTCAATGTTAGTACTGGTATGTACAAACTTGACCCAGTTTTATGTTACAATATTACACAACAGTTTAAGAAAAAACTCTGAAAGGGAGGCTTACAAAGTCTCATTACAATTTTATATTAATTTATTGTGTGTTCATGAGGCTTTTCTTTAATATTTTATCCTTATTCTCTGACCCCTTAATCCTTTTTGACCATTGTAAGCTAAGCTATTCCTGTTTCTGGTAAGTCTTTCCCTGGAGATGGGTTGGCCAGGTCCCAGGTGTTGGCCTGTATCCTCTCTCTCTCCTTCTCTAGTCAGTCTGGTGTTGACAACGGCTTTAACAGGCCGAAACGTTCATCTCTCTTCCCCATTTCTTTGTGGTTTTCCGCATACATACTAAATCACTAAACACTGATTCCGATCAGTGTTTAGTGATCGTCAAATGCATCAATGGATACCACGTGCCAGTTTCTCTCTTTACCCTTCTCTTAAGCCTTTTGTTACTAAACTTCGTTCTGCTTTAGTGAAATCTCATTCCTTAAAACTTCGCCTCCGTTTTCTTCGAAAATGCCTCAGTGAACAAGTGCTACCCCGTTCATTATTACCCAACAGCGTTCTTAAATTATCAGATCGGCCGTTTGATGAGATTCCCCGCATAGTGCTTATGAAAAACATCGATTTACTTAAATTAGAAGTTCGTGAATGTTTTAAAGTGGTGGATAACTGTAAGTATGCCTTTCTCCAAGCCATTCCGCCTGAATGGAACCGCTGTTTGATGGATTATTGTTACACTACTTTGAGGTCTACCTACAGAAAGGTGAGTACTAAACTGGATTTAAAATTGAAGAGACTTATTCAACAAAGTAACTGGAGTAAACACTCCAACCGTGATTTTGTCATCAACCTCTCGGATAGACAACTTGATAACAACACGATTACTGCATTAGGATATGGCCTGAGCTTTGCCACGTCTAACGGGACAGTTAATTTTGTAGATATTGCCAAAGGTTTCTGTAATCTCGAAAAGTATAGTGATCTCTCAGTTGAAGATATTAATGTGTGCAAAGGTATGATGTATGGTGTTTTACTTAACAATTCTGTACCTAATTGTCCAAGTCGATTTATTCATGCGTTCAAAATTCTCAAAAAAGATAATTCATTGAATATTACCAAGGCTGATAAGTCAAATGCAGTAGTTATTATGAATAAGGATGACTATGTTCGAAAAATGGAGTTACTTTTGGAAGATAGGGATACTTACCTATTGGTTAACAGAGATCCTACTGAAAAAGTGATCACACATTTTAACAAAACTCTCAAAACTTTGTGCAAAGGCGATAAAGAGTTGATTTCTAGGCAAACAAATCGATCTCCCCCTCTACCTTATATGTATGGTCTTATAAAAACCCATAAACCTTATAATCCAGTTAGACCGATTATTAGTTCAATTGGTTCGGCGGCTTATAAACTTTCTAAGTGGTTGGTTAAAGTTTTGTTCCCTATCGTTGGTAGTATTTCTAACTCGCACTTAACTAACAATGTAGACTTAATTAATAAGCTATCCACACCAAATTTGAATTTTGATTTTAAACTAGTAAGTTTTGACGTGACTGCTTTATTCACTAAAGTACCTGTTGATGATTTGTTAGAATACCTACGTGAGGAACTGCCTAAATATAACTTGAGCTTGCAGACTAATAATGTGTTGGAGCTAAAATATATGAAACTGGGAAGAGTTTACAGTACCCTAAGATGTTTTTGGAGTGTTCGTTTGGGAAAGCTAAACGTACGTTTTATAATAATGTCTCCAAAGTGAAACTAGAAAATAAAAACTCATTGGTGGTACCTTATGCGATGGGATTTGAGAAACTTTCCCCAATTTTTAAGAACCTTAATATCAATTTGGTGTTCACTAATAATACGATCAAGTCTAATTTAATAAAAAAAAACTCCCCTGGTACAGCAGGTTGTGTGTATTCGATTCCCTGCAATGATTGTGAGTCTGTGTAACTTGGACAAACAGGAAAATCCTTACAATTACGTATGTCCCAACATGCTTATAGTATAAGAACTGCCCAAACGTCTAATGCTTTGTATCTACATACAAGTTTGTGTAATCACACTATTAATTGGGTTGGGGCGAAAAGCATTGCCAATTGCAATGGCTTTGTGGAATGAAATTTAATTGAGTCTGCCCTAATAAGTCAATGTCCAAATCTTCTCAATGTTAGGACTGATATGTACAAACTTGACCCAGTTTTATGTTACAATATTACACAACAATTTAAGAAAAAACTCTGAAAGGGAGGCTTGCAAAGTCTCATTACAATTTTAAATTCATTTATTGTGTGTTCATGAGGCTTTTCTTTAATATTTTATCCTTATTCTCTGACCGCTTAATCCTCTTTGACCATTCTAAGCTAAGCTATTCCTGTTTCTGGTAATTCTTTCCCTAGAGATGGGTTGGTCAGGTCCCAGGTGTTGGCCTGTATCCTCTCTCTTTCTCTAGTCAGTCTGGTGTTAACAACGGCTTTAACAGGCCGAAACGTTCATCTCTCTTCCCTATTTCTTTGTGTTTTTTCTGCATACAAATGATCAGTGTTTAGTGATCGTCAATTGCATATATATATATATATATATATATATATATATATATATATATATATATATATATATATATATATATATATATATATATATATATATATATATATATATATCTGTCAATTCAGGTG